TGTGAAATCGAAATTACGGGTTGTTGTATATACAATGATATAATACGTTCTTCGTTTTTGACATGTTTTATTAGGGAGACATGATTTAATTGGAGAATGGTGATGATACGAAAAAAAATGTGATGAAAATGGAAAAGTTAGAAATGATTTGAAAACTTCGACATCTCGTAATACGTTTGCACAAGGGATTTCAGAATTCTGGCTCACCTGGCTCTAAGGTACCCATTGACAATTTCGATTTTTTCGATTTTTTCGGTAGAAAATTGCTAACTTCAGAGTCCTAAAAAATAGTTCAAAATTTTCAGACTTGTCTGAAAATTTCAGAGTACACTAAACACAAGTCAAACTTTAATTTTGTAGTTGACAACTGTTTGGTATCTTTTTGGGTTTTGGAGATATGCGCCTTTAAAGCTTGAAGTCGATATGGTGCAAGCGAGAGGAGAGAAGGATACAGTGTTTTTAAAGGCCAACATCTCCAAAACCCAAAAAGCCACATAAAAATTTTAAATTATAAAAATGTGTAAAATAAAATTTCCCACATCTTCCAATAAATAACTTTTTTGTAGCTTTTTTAGATAAAGACATTTGGCAACCAGAAAATGTTGGTGGTTTTATGCCAAACGTTTTATCAGTCAACAGAGTTATGATATCTCTTACAGGAATCGAGATACAGTATCTCCAAGAAACTTACCTCATGGTACTCCAAATACTCGACGCTTCATTTCCCCCTTTCTGCAACTCCAATGCCGATACAAAATGTTTCAATGCCTCTTCATAGGATGAGAGTTGCATACAGGAGATTCCCAAATTGTATCGAGCTCTTACATATGTTGGGTACAGTTTTAGTGCCTCTCGATAAGCTGAAATTGCTTCAGCTGTGCGATCTCCGTTGGCAAGTGTTGCTCCGAGACGATTCCAGAGACGGGCGTCCTGAAATCGTTGGTTTAAAGGTGCATCTTCATATATACATTCGTTCAAAGGCGCATCGTGGGGCCTGCAGGGAATTCATAAATTGTCATTAAAATCCTTGCGCCTTTAAAATTGCCAGATTTTTTGAAAATACCATGAACACTGCCAGAAGGCCAGCCTATACTTGCACTTTGAGCTCAATTATCTCGGATTCTATTAGAGATATCAAAAATTGGTCAACTGATAAAATGTTTGTCCCCTTAATTAACATTTTGTCAGTTGACACATTTTTGATATCTTCCATATTGTCTATTCAATAAAACGT